TTGTTCAGCATTTGGAACTGCCAATCCCTCTCTGTCCTTGGCCAACTATAAATAGGCAATATAATTCTGGGACTCTTTACCTTCCAAACTAAAATCTTATATAGGGGGTCTATTCTTTTCTTTTTTTTTAATCCCATCTTGTCCCATGTTGAAAACGAGAGTGCCATTAATGGTACAAAAATGATTGAACGACAACTTCCCACATACATATCTACATTCCAACATAGAATCAGAAACAATGTAATGTGCATGTGACTCCTCTTCTAGCCACACCTGACATATGTTTGGAGTGCTAAGGAGTTGACAAATGATTACAATACACAAAATAGGTGCTGGTGCTTTCTGTGAAAATGTCATGCAGACAAAAGTGTAAACAAAATAAAAATTATTTGTTCTACTGAGATGTGTATTCTATTAACATAACGTTTGGGATGGTAGCTACAGGTTGTTGGTCTGATGTGATAAACTAAAACTTCCCCAACTGCTACGGATGGTCTGAGACAATCATTTCTCTTCCACTTTGCAGTTTCACTGTTGCACTTTATATAGGTAATATAGTCCACAAGGCATACTAGCACAATTACAATTATAATACTACTACTACTGCTAATAAAAGTAATAACAACTCTGTATCATAATCCTTTATTTGTAGTCCAAGAGAAAATTCGTATACTGGTAAACTGTAAACTTGTATTCAATTATACCAAAATCTTTTATTATCTTCTATTCAAAATTTCTTTTGTGTTTACAAAAATTATTTTTGTTACCCTTTTCTTCCGAGTCATACATTGTTTCCGATCATGCACAGCCTTGCTCACTCGATGTTTAAAAGACAAATACTGTACTAAAGAAACTAAAATCGGTTGTTGTACTGTAGTAACTAAGAGAAAAAAGTCCAACAGTCACTCCAAATACTAATATATTTCTCCAATTTTCTAATAATGTGTATTAGGCTTTATGTTACACATAGATAAGTTGAGGGGCCTAGATCATCTTAACCAGGTCAGCTTGTCCCACAACTGAAGGGGAAAGCTTATTCCAACATTAACTCTTCAGTCTGAATTTAAAGCGAAGTTCCAGCTATTTTTGTGTTTATTAAAAGTCAATAACTACAAAAACTGTAGCTGCTGACTTTTAATAAACACACACTTACCTGTCCCAGAGTCCAGTGATGTTCTCACCTGTGCCGTCCCTTCTCCTCTTCTTTCCTCCACAGTGCCGACATCTCAACTGTGGGCACCAGGCACAAGCGCTGCGCCTCCTAATCGGTCTGGCAGTCTTCTTGGACCTGTGAAAGTTCCCAGGAGACTTCGGGAGGGAGGAGGGGGCCGAAGGTCCGGCTCACTTTGCCGTGGCGAACTGTGCCAGAAGTGGGAGCGGGTACCTGTTAAAAACAGGTATCCACTTCCCCCAAAAGGTGCCAAATATAGCAGTGGAGGGGGGGGAGGTGGCAAATAAGAGGAGCTTCCACTAAGCTTTAGTGGAACTCAGCTTTAAGCAAAATTGGGACTAAGCATTTATCTACCCTGGAAGATATTAAAATTTCTAAATATTTAAAAAATTCACAATTTTAATTTGCTGTCATTGGAAGGGGTGGAGGATTATCCAAAGGGAGCAAGAATGATTTATCCCAGTTTATAACAATCTCAAAATAGCAGCCAAACAGGGATATTAAAGTCTTTAAAGAGATCAATGAGTTACTTGTGTCCCCCAAAAACAGCAGTGTGTCATCTACATAAAGTGAGATTTCATCCACTCTATTACCTCTCCTAAAACATTTGATGAAAGTAGACTGTCTAATGGCCATGGTCAAGGGTTCCTCTGTTAGGGCAAAAGAAGGGGATAAGAGTGGGCATCCCTGCCTCATGCAAAAATGTGAAGTCATGCTCCATTGTAGGCAAGCTTGTGGTGCTGAATACAACAGGCAGATCCAGAGTATGAATCTCTTTCCAGGCCAAAGAGGCGCAAGAACTCCCACAGATACAACTATACGGCACTGTCGAATGCCTTGGTGGCATCCAATGACAAAATGACTCGGTCTCCTACATTATCAGAAGGTAACTGCACATTTAGTAAAAGCCTCTGCAAGTTAATTGCAGTGGCCTTGTGGGAATGAAGCCCAAATGGTCAGTGTGCACCATTTTTTGCATAACTTTACTCCGTCTATTCACCAAAACTCTCACTAAAATTTTCACATCAGAGTGAAGTAGAGAGACTGAGTGATAAGTCTGGACATAAAAGATCATTCTCTTGTTTTGGTATAGCTATGATGATAGCATCATTAGTAGATGCAGGAAGCGATTGTTGCTCAAACACAGCAATGAGGACCTCCAGATGTTCTGGCAATAGAATATGCCCATAATGCTTGTAAATTTGGGAGAGTAAGCCAACCACACAGGGTGCCTTCTGCTTGGAAGTTTCTGAAATTGCTCTAGTAAGTTTCTTAATCTGCAAAGGAGCATTTAAATTCACCTTGATAGGGAAAAGCAAAGCAACTGTAGGGAGGACAAAAGGTCAAAAGATGTTTGGGGGGGGGGGGGGTTAATTTGAATTCATATAAATTATTGTAAAACCCTTTTAAAGAATCTGCTGTTTCTCTTGAGTGATGGGTAGTGTTGCCTTTCTCAGTAAGAAGTTCCTGTCTCCTGGTTTAACTGACATCTTCCTCCTCCGATGCCCCCCACTACCATGATCTTCCATTGCGAGGTTACTAGAACTAAAGGAGCTGTGACAGGCATGCATTAAGATTGCCTGACTATGCCCGCCCTTCTGCCCAGCTACTCTATTCAGGAGGAGAGGGGGAGGCAATCATGACCGAATGCTACCTCCAAAATTGACTACCAGGAAAATCAACTGAGAAAACTCCATATAGACTGTGGAATGGAAAGACCCCAAATCTGATCCATCTAAACATTTTTGGAAGCAAAGCTTATGTGCCCATCCCTAAAGAAAAAAGAAAAAATGGGATGCTTGTGCAAAGGAAGGTGTACTTGTGATGTACAGTGAATATCAAAAGGGATACAGAATTCTACACCAAGATACTAACAAGGTGACCATCAGTAGAAGTGGTATTGTCAATTACACTTCTGTGTGTTAAAAATTTCATGAACTAACACCAAAGCTTCAAACTGAGGGAAATTCCACATCAGTGTCACATGAAGATAAGCATAAGATAAACAAAGTGACACAGAAATAGAAATTAATGCAGACAATCCAAATATTGTAAAAGAAGAAACTAGGCCACAAGAGACTTCAATCAGAGAATCCACGAGCAGCAATAAATGCATCCCAGCCAAATGTCTGTTGCTCGCGTAGTATTAAAACCAGAGCCAATGAGGGTGTTGGAATACAGTGTTCATATAGTTTTGTAAAACAACTACACCTTAGTGTTCAGTAAAGATATATTCTTCAATCAGGAGATGGCAGTGTTTAAAAGCGTGTAGATGCATCTATGATAAACTCTATGACTTTTCGCTAAATAAAGTTTGAGTTTCCTGTTTGTAGAGAAGCAGCAGATAAACACACGTGGACTGGGAACTGTCTGTTCAGTAGTAGGGCTATATACAGAATCTCTAACAAACACCCTTTCAGCACACCCCTCAGACCTTTTGATTGGGTAGAATTAATTCAGTAGCATCCTCGAGGGGGTGAACAAAAAGCTGCTTGAATTGGCAGCTTTAATTTGACATTGAAACTACTAAGGATACTTTATTTCTGAGAGCCAGTGACTCTGATACATCGGACTGGACTTATTCTGCAAGCAAATTGCACTCTGCATGGCACCAACAACCAGGTGAATTTTGCTAGTATTTCTCACTTTTAATCCTATGGGGCCCAATCTGCTTCCAATCTACCAAAAAAGGCTCATACACTTTTTTTTAGCAACAGGTTTTTTGCACAGGCGACAGAAACTCAAATGTGAACAGGGGCCTTTGAAATGAATGGTATTTCCCGTGTTCAGAGTTTAGAGCTGCAAGCAGAAAAATCACTCAGATATGAATGGGGCCTTAAAGTCACATTTTCGCAATTACTGGATACATTGTGAATGGAAATACAATTCCTTTGCACCATACTTTCTACAAAATCATGACGTGTGCATTAAGAGGTTTTATATTTACATATATGTGGGCACCTATCTGTGTATGTTTTTGAAGTAACCTCTGCCATTAAGAAAGGCTATACCCTGTAACAATAACAAAACTATTTTCATATTTAAAGCAGAACTTTACTCTCTCAATCAATGTAAACTATTTCTAATCCTTATGCTGCTTGCATTAGTATATAGGCAGGAAAGTATATCATGTTTTAAACTTTTTGTTATATATTTCTTCAGTTCCATCCTATCTTCCAGTCCTAGGCAAATGATGTCATGCATCCCAGGAGTCTTCAGAAGGGGTTTTTGTTCAGCTAAGAACACCTTCCCGCCTGCATGCCTGAGCTAAGGGCAGCTGGGTTCTGGGAAGTAAATTCTACATGAATTATCTGCCTTTACTCAAGATGGCCACAGCCAGAAATGCTAGCAGGTGTTCTTCAAAGTGATTTCTCAGCAAAATACCGCTTGAGACATGGATGGATGGGAGAGTTTGATTTGAATATTAACCACTTTTACCTCCTTCATGACCAAGGCATTTTTTTGCTATTCAGCACAGTGCTACATTAACTGGCAATTGCTCAGTCATGGAACACTGTAATCAAATGAAACTTACACATTTTTTCACACAAATAGAACTTTCATTTGGTGGCATTTAATCACCATTGTTTTGTTTTCTGTTTTTTGCTATATAAACAAAAACAAAAACTGAACATTTTGAAAAAAAAAAATTTCTGGTTTAGTTTCGGTTATAAAAGTTTTCAAACAAATAATCTTTCTTGATCATGAGAGTAGTACAGTGGATTTTTTTCACTGTGATTGCTTGTTACAGTGAGATCACTGTAACAGCAATCATTTGAACTGTCATGAATAGCTTTCCTTCATGGCTCATTGTTTACTATTGTGATCCTGTGATTGGACTACAGCTATCACATGGTACAGGGCAGGGGCAGACTGACCATTTGGAAACTCGGGGCACTGCCCGAGGGCTCAGGGTCAGTAGGGGGCCCCATGAGATGCCCCTGGTACCTTTTTCATAGGCTTTTTTGAGTTTGGGCAAGGACACAGGGGCCCCATGATTCCCTATTGCCCGGGGGCCCCATGAGTTGTCAGTCCGCCCCTGAGCTCCAGGTTAACTAGATTATCCTGAGCTTTGGCAAAATGGGAGACAGGGTAATCAGTCCTTTATTTCTTAGTGCCTTCCCCTAAATATATTAGAATATCTGTAACTCTATGGGGTTCCTACAGGTATACTGGCCAGCGGAATTTGGATGGATCTCAGCATTCAGGAGCCACAGGTTTCCATTGGAACAATGCAGCCACAAAACAGATGGTTCTTATGTAATGTATGCTCCAGCTTTTTTACTCTAGCATAGGACTACTTCAAGCCAACATAGTGTACAGCAGCGGTCTCCAAACTGTGGCCCAGGGGTCAGCTGCAGCCCTTTACTTGCCTTTATCTGGCCCTTGGGGCACTATTTCTTGAACTGATGAGTCCACCCCGGTACAGGGTGCTGTGATTGGCACTGGTACCATGTGATCACTGGTGACCAATTACAGATTGCACACGTAGTAAAAAATTATTTCATGAATGGTTTCCATTCATGAGTCTTGTTTATTAGGTGTCATACGATCACAGCTCACAACTGACTGATACTGAGCATGGCAGGGGAGTGCGCATGAGCACCGTGACCTGGTGAAGCCGCCGGCCAGTGGTAAAATTACTATTGGCTGCTCAGCAAATGGTTAAATATGAATTACATAGTATTTTTGGTTTGTGGTGCTCAGATGTACTGTAGTTCCACTTTAAGCGCAAGACTGCAGCAATCAATTAGTCATGTGTCGCTAGCTAGAACAACCTAGACATCAACCTGAACTGACATACATTAAACTCACCAATATTAAAATACATTGTGCACAATGAGTTACAAGGCTTGGCACTCAAAAATGTGCATCTACTAACCACAAAATGACAAGTAAGCACTAACAGCTTTAAAAAGTCACATATCTATAAATAAACATCGCTTTGTACATAAATCCTAAGCTAAATCGTCTACAATATATTTGATATGATGTGCTTTGAGAGGGAAAGAGTTCAATGAAACTTTTCATTTTCCTTTAAAGTTTTTAGGTTTTGCCTAAACTGATATTTTAATGTTGAGCTTTCTAATAAAGCAAAGCACTAGCTCTGCAAATGTAGACTCAAGATCTAAATGGCACTATCTCTACTTGGAGCAGAAGGGGGATATACTCACCTTCTTGGTCATTCAGCTAACTTACTTAATTGTGTGTGTAAGTCTTAAAACAGAACTAAACTACATCTAAGCGCCACAAACTGAAAATGCCACTTGCCCTCCTGAGGATTTGCCCCCCTTCCTGACCAGACCATTTTTTGCATTATGACACTGCATTACTTTAACTGACAATTGTGCGGTCATGTTCACTGCACCCAAATTAAAGTTATGTCCTTTTTTCCCACAAATAGAGCTTTCTTTTGGTGGTATTTGATCGCCTGTGCATTTTTTAATAATTGCGCTATAAAATAAAAAAGACTGACAATTTTGAGAAAAAAAACAATATTTTTGTCTTTTTGCGATTAAACATGTCCAGTAAAAAAGTTTTAAAATCAAATTTCATCATAAATTTAGGCCAAAATGTATTCGGCTACGCCTTTGCTGAAAACAATCCCAATACGTGTAAACTAATTGGTTTACGTGAAAGTTATAGCATTTACAAGTGGCAGTATACTGTATATACTGGGCTTTTTTTCCCTACTACTAATGGCAGTGATCTGACACTGGGGGGGAATGGACTTGGTGTCACTGACATTCCCAGTGACACCAATACAGTGACCAGTGCTAATAAAAAGCACTGACGCTGTATTAATGACACTGGGCAGGAAGGGGTTAATATCTGGGGTGATCAAAGGGTTAACTGTATGCTGTGTGCTGTTTTACTGTGTGCTCTGTGTGAGCTTCACTGTAAGCACACTGTATTGCAGCTTACCAATCATTAGATGTGATGAGCATCAGTTTTCTTTCTTTGGCTTTTTCTCCTGCTTTCCCCGGTAATATGGCCAGTAACATACCTCCAGTATTATTGAGAAACCACTCTGGAGGAATGATCACAGGACACAGCAGCATATTCAGTGTGGGGGGATGGAAGTGTTAAATGTATTTATAGATTTGTATGCAATAACAAATTGAAGCCAAACTCCAGCTCACACTTTATAATCAGTTACAGCAAATACTTATTTTTCCTTTTGGGATAAAGATTTTATATGAATAAATAAAAGCTGATCATTTTATTCACCAATGACCATGATACATGGATTGTCTCATCCATGTAAGCTGATACATTCTGCTGGAGGGCTTGAACTTCTGAAAAACAGCAGAGCTTCAGGCTGAATCATCAGACAAAAACAGAAGAAATAAAGTAAAAAAAGAAAACAAATGCAGCCATCACATCTAAGAATAGGTAAGTTGCAATATATTAAATGGTTGCTTTTGGATTTAATACTGCTTTAAAAACCTTAAAGTGTAGGTTGGGAAAAAACAAAAATTATAAAAAAAACATTCACTACATCTCTCCAATACATTCACATTTCTCCATACAGTATTTAAAAGTGCTTAAAATTCAGAAAATACCTGTTGATGTGCCAAAAGTCCAGTCTGCTCCTTACTTTCCGTTTATGCTGCCAACATTTTGCTGCACTGAAATCTCAACCAGTATTGTGCCTGCTGGACTACAGATCTCCACCTATTACCCACTTCATTCTGTCCCACTTCCAAGTAAAACAGTGTTGCTGCTTTGACTCCTAAGGGGCTGTTCACACACTATGTGTACAGATACGGAAAGGACTCTTGGGATCTGTCGGAACAAGGAACAAGTTACGTGAACAGATTCCCTGCCGAACTGGAGCTGAACAGGATGGTTGTCACTATTGTGACATCCATACCTATTCAGTTTTTCTTCTGCTTTATGACAACAGACCTTTCTGGACTCATATTCAATCTATGGACACCCAGATGAAAATGGACGCACATTAAGGTCTGCAAAAACAGAATAGGGTGCAGTCTTTTTCCATTATTTTTTATGGACCTGAACAGATTTGTCCATTTACATCTATCTGCCCATAAACTTATATAGAGCTTCCAATCAGGTCCAAATGAAAAACGGACAGGTGTGTCTGACCAGAAAACCCGAATGAAAGTACTCTTAACCACCTCATATCATGGGCCTGTTTTCTCAAGCCTAATCACCTGATTACTGGCAAAACGAGAGAAAGAAAGAAAAAAATGGGATTCTGACAGAAAGCAATAAGAACTAAGGTCCTCCCTGTTGAACATGGACATAATGGTGAAGCCCAGATGAACATAAGGAGCAGGTGCTTCTCAGGCATTGCTGTGGAGACATGGAAGTGTGTAGGAAAGAGAAGTACTAAGTACAGCGCAAAGTAAAAATCTGTTTGTTTGCCTAGTATGGTATTACATATGGGTACATGAAGATCTCTTGGATGTATAAGCCGAAAAACGTGTATTATATGAATCCTTCAATCTAGTCTAAAGTATATTTTTTCGCTGTTAGATTTTACCTTAGAAATCCCCAATCCCCAACTCATACTTTTTCAAAACTGTAAGTGTCCTGAAGTCAAAGATAAATAACAAAAAAGTGCAAACGACTTAGTTTAAATGTAGGAGTGCATCACTAGAGATCCTGTGAATGATTCACTTTAGCTGATGTGCTTAGAACAAATGATCGTGTTTCAGCATTGTGTACAATCTATGAAAAAATGTGTATTTGTATTCCATTAGTTGTTCCTAAAACTCCAAAAAAAGAGTTTAGGTAATAACTATAATAGCTTTTTGTGTTATTTAGATAGTATTTTATGATTGTATAGACGTTTACAAACTAAACTTTGGTTTCACCTTTTAGTTACCCTTGTAAAATATTTATTGTACAATTTTACATTTATTACAAGGTGCATTGGTGACATACAAACTAGAGACAGTCAGCTTGGGGGTGTGTGTGTTCAGAACAGCAGGTGATCAAAATTTAAACTTTTTTGCAGCACAGAAGTAAACTACTTCCTGCTAGGTGAACATGGTAAATAATAAAGCTGAAATTCAGGCATATATGAAAGACACTAAAACAACAAAAGGTAGCGCTATTTTCAAATTAAATTATTGTGATATAAAATAAATGTGAACAAAAAAGTCTCTGAAATTTTTCTTTTCATCAATTTTGAAAAACGTCCATCAGCAAAAATAATTGTGCAACTCCACCACCAACAGAAATTAATAAACTCGCCAGAGCATATTGCCAGTTAAATTATAAACCAGCAATTGCACTTCTTTGCTCTGGGAGCAGACCCGGTGGTGACCAGATATTCCAATCAATTCACTCTCAGCTAATGATGTAATACTCTGCAGGCCAGGGAAACCCAGATATCCAGACACTTATTATATGTATCCTCTTTGGGAGCAAAACTCTGCAGATCTATGAACTTGGCAGCAAAATCCTCCAAAAGGTACAGTTGCAAGAAAAAAGTATGTGAACCCCTTGGGATTACGTAGAGTTTTGCATGAATTGGGCATAAAATGTGCTCTGAACGTCATCTAAGTCACAACAATAGAAGAACACAGTCTGCTGAACATAATACTACACAAATATTAGATGTTGCCATGGTTTAATTGCACATAACATAACATTTAAACATTCACAGTGCAGGGAGGAAAAAGTATGTGAACCTTTGGACTTAATAACTGGTTGACCCTCCTTTGGCAGCAATAACCTCAACCAAACGTTTCCTGTAGTTGCAGATCAGACATGCACAACGATCTGGAGTAATTTTGGACCACTCCTCTTCACAAAACTGTTTCAGTGTAGCAACATTCTTGGGATGTCTGGTGTGAATCACTCTTAAGGTCATGCCACAGCATTTTCAATCGGGTTGAGGTCAGGACTCTGACTGGGCCACTCCAGAAGGCGTATTCTGTGCCGTTGCAGCCATGGTTTTGTTGAATTACTTGTATGCTTTGGGTCATTGTCCTGGCTTTGATGTTGGTGTGCTGTGCCTTTTTTTCTCCACACATAGTGTTGTGTGTTCTTCCCAAACAA